CCGGGGGGGGGGGGAATAGAGGTGCAGCTTCCCCATATTTTGAGGCAGGAAATACACAAGAATTGAAGTGCAGTTCCTAAAAGGGACTTAACACAGCTTTTTAAAAAACAAAGTAACAAACTGTTGCTAAAAGCAAAAGGAGAATCTTGGAAAATCCCAGCTTTGCCCAGATATGTGGTAGTCTCTACCCTCTTTGCATAATCTCCCTGCCCAGTGCAACCTTTGCTTCCCACAAAATGTTGTGCAGCCTACAGCTGCCAGCTAAAAGGTGGCTTGCTGCTCCAGTAGGGCTTCTGAGTAAGTGTGTGTTAAATGCCATTTCCATGGCATTCCAGTCCACGGAATGTAGGTGGAGGCTGCAGCTTCATCACTGTGCGATCTGCTCTAGGAAGGCTTCTTTTTAAATGGAAAAAAAGGTGCAATTGTTATCAGGATCTTCTGATATAAGAACAGAATGCAGGGCTACATGGGACTTTGGTCTCATCCAGGAAAGACCTGTTTACATTCCTGTGCCATACCAGTAGTCCTCCTTTAGCAACTGCCTCATTCAGTGACTGTTTGCAGTTACAGCGGTGATGTAATGTTATAACCAATCCTCGCACTTCTGACCTTCTTAGGTCTGTAAAAGCAAAGGAAAGCTGAAGTAAGATCATAAGCACAGTCACAGTTTCACTGAACAACTGCTTCGCTTAACAACCAAGTTGCTGGTCCTAATTGTGGTTCGAGATTACAGGGGCAATTGGGACCAGAATTGCCATCACTAACCGACATGGACATAAAGCACAACATCATGTGACCATGTCGCTTAGCGATTGCAGTTCCAGCAGTCCCGGTTGCCATCATTAAGCGAGGACCATGCAGGTTGTTAAGCGAGGGCCTCACATGACCATGACTTCCAACTTCCTGTAGCTTCCCCATTGACTTTGTGGGAAGCCGGCAGGGAACATCAGAAATCATGATCATGTGATCATAGGATGCTGTGACAGCTGGAACTCTGAGGACCTGTTGTAAGAACTCTTTGTTTAGCACTGTCGCAATTTTCAATGGTCACTGAATAAGTGGTTGTAACCCAAGGACCACCTGTACTCCATCTTTTGCTCCCTCATTGTCTAAAAAGATAAACAACTGCCTCTTACTTGAAAATGCAGAGGAATACAAAATTGGAGGGGTGGGTGGGATTTGACCACTTATACTTTCACCAGTATGGATTTACACAGATAAAAAAATATATCATTTAGTGTAGCAGTGGATATACTGTTGCTCTCCAGAAGTTCTTGAACTAGAATTTCTGACAACTCCAACCAAGCATGAGCTGTTGGAAATGAATCTGAAAAAGTTTCTAAAAGAAAGACAGGATATATCAAACAACTGCCTACTAAAATTTCTAAGATAGAGATTTTACCAAATACTTTCTTATACCACAATACTGTCTGGTTTATAAAAGAAAATCTAACTCTTTCAGATGGAGATTAAATTAAGTGTTGTTACAAAAAGGTGACATTGTTGAGGACT